CCTTTCTTGACCGGTGCCTTTGTGACGGTTATCTGCATTTTACATGACAATGTCACAAAAAGTCAAAGCCTTTTATCCAACGAATGCGGTCACACTTCGGATATTATTCATTGCAGTAGATAGACAAAATAAAGCACGTAAATAATGCTTAAAAAGACATAGTAATTCTTTCAAAAGACGGATAAAGAACGGTGTCTGGCAACCATTCAGTTGACGACCATGCAAGTATGACGTGATAATAATTCAACAGCTATATTTTAGCAAAGAAACCAAATATTCTGGTTGTTCAAGTTATAAGAATGAACATAAACAGAAATTTAGTTAACAAAGAGTGCGTGGTATGTATCATCTCAACACAGTTTGGAGTGAGGAATGTCCTCGAACAAACACAAGACTTAATATCTGATGCGCCTACGATAACTACACGCAGATCTTTTGAATATCGTATCTTTAAGGAAGATGCGTATCATAGATGCTGGCGAGCATTGGCAATCGTACTTTTATAGTTTCGATTAAAATTTAGTTTCATGATAATTGATTAAAAAATCGTAAAGCCTTCAATCTAATTTCCTCTTGAGATTATTTCTTTATTTCTGACTAACAATTTCCAGCGTACGTAACAGTGAGGTCGCCATGCGAGCCTCCATCGATAATACGACCCTAGGAAAGATGTCAGAATTGGCGACAAAGTGAGGGCATTCCTGCCAAAAATATTCCTCGACGGCACGCGTAACTAAAACGTAAAACGACACTAAAAACTGTAGATTGAGGGGCAAGGCACCGACAGCGATAACGGCGTAGTTACACACAACACTTTCGTGGTACGGTGCACTAGAGGCACTTTGATTAGTTTCAAGTGGAGAGCTATTTGATAATTTCCTTATCTGTTTCGTTGAACTGGCTTGTTTCAATTCCTATGTTAGATAAATATCATTATCTGATTAAAATGCTCAAGGTATACAATTCCTTTTCCTGGCCGAATTTAACGAAAACAAAATAGGTTGCGCTCGAATTCACTTACCTTCTTTTGTAATTGTTTACAAGACATTCTTTGTATTTTTCTAAAGCAAAATTTTATCAAATTACCACGTTGAAAAAATATACGTTAATTGATGATAAAAAAGACTGATCAATACTGAAAGGAGTGTCAAGTTAGAGCCCGAATACATGGCGTGCGGCGTGGCAATGAAATGCTGCAGCATTTACGAGACGATATCAGCACGTCGTGCAGTAAAGATAAGCGAGTATGAGGCGAGGGCAACCTGTACCATCGCGCCACGCTTCGCAATCATCAGCATTTAGCAGCCACGTTCAAAATAAGCCCATGAATAATCACTCCAATTTGAATAATTTTCGGAGTACTCTAATAACTGCAATCGTCTGATTTTGGAAACTTCAGCCTTTGATTGCATAAACTTTTTGCTTGAAAATTGGAATTGACTGCAACCGTTAACAGAACATAGTTTGTAATTAATTTCTCTACAACAGACAATATTCAAAAATTAGTTAAACACTGTGAGTCCATAGCGGCATTACTCGCAATTAATAATTACTAAGATATGAGACTATTTTTTGTGAGATCGTCTTTGAAGCCATCAGTTAATGCGTAAAAAAGTACTATGGTGATTAAATGTAGGTTTAAGTAAAGCCTTCACCCAAACAACTCTGCCCGTTTCGCTCGCTTTCCTTCAATTAAAGGCTGGATTTTTCGATTGAACCTGAACGGGTCAGGCATTAAAAAAAAGTATTTTGTGCAAGCCTTACTCGCTTAAATGAACGCCGGATTGACTGAAGGTGGAATTCGGGAATTTACCCACAGAGAATTTAATTTGTAGAAAATGTAAATACGATGTGGAATACTCTTGCAGGCGGCAACAGAAACAGCAAATTGAACGGAAATTTCACATACAATAATGTTCTATAAACAATAGCAAAAGAATTTCTTAGCAAAGAATCAAAGGAATTTCTTCACGAAATTTTTCATTCAATGATGTTGTTCTCTGAAATAACTCTGATATTCCGAAATCTGATATTTCGAAAAAAATAAACTCTAATTGTTTTGAAACATTTCACCTGAAGTTCCGTAATATATTCTCGGAAGAGTGTGAGGAATATAGACCTGCACGTGTTGCACAAGCGCGTCGCCTGGCAAACTGGGCAAGGTGCAGCAACTAAAAAAAAACTTCAACTCCTGCATGGGTCGGCTGAGCCTGAATAGCTCAGCCTGACTGCCTGCCCACTGCAGACTAGCCCTCGAGATTGCAACAACCAATTAAAAATTTAAAACAAACACTGCTTTACAACCGGTTTACCTGCTATGTTGTTCACGTGATCGACCCCCTCCTAAATATGCGACAAATCTGAATGACAACAATATAGAAATACAGAGCGACATACAGGAAACAGTAAACGAATGTTTCAACACTCCCCTTTGAACACTCCGCTCATTGTGCGGTAAAACCAGCATTAACATGGCTCTGTTAGTGGCATGCAAACAAAAGTCATTGCGAACAATATGAACATTGCAAGCGGCGTATTGATATGCATGAGTGATGCAAACTAACAGCAATATGTGCAACGTTAAATATATCTCGATTAATTACATGATCCGAATATAAAACGATTATACAAAGCAAATCGTTGGCTCGAGAATGCTGAGAGGGAACTAGTAACTGGGCAGAGGAAGGCACCTGGCAGTGCAGGCGGCGGCGTGCCAAGGTGATCAATATAAGAGCGTATCTCCGACCGTCGCCCAGGCTTCGTCGCTCATCACAGTCGCTGCACCAACACGTCCGCTAATGTCTGCACCACGTGCATCTCACAGACAATTAAGCTCTGTGTACGTTTAACTCACAGCTAGTTTACACGTTACTGCGGAACTGCCAACTACCAAACATCAGCCGATACGACGTGAATTATCAGCTAAGGATTGCGTATATTGGTAGCTGAAAATGGCATCAAAAGAAGCCTCGAGGCACCGGGCTTATCTATTTGCGACTCTCATACAGCACGCAGCCAGTGAGTGCGCGTATCGCTCTTAATTTGGGCACGCGAATGTCCAACGACCCTCTTCCGAAAATGCTTGAAGATTGATAGAGCTTATTTGAATAGACAGGTTTTATCGCCAATGACTATTGTCTTCGATCACGGTACAAGATATCTATTTATATCTTATACGCCCAAAACTTCAGCTTTTGCCTTTATTTTATTATTGTTTACATCAATTATTCACCATTGGGAAATTCCCAAAGTCCTGGTGAAAAAATATATGGAAAATAATAATTTAATATGATATTTATAATAATTTAATAAAATAATAATTTAATTTAATATATGGAATTTAATAATAATTCAAGAACTTCAAAGCCGGGAGTACTTCTGGAAGATTAGAATATTGCCAGCATACCTTAATTAAGCCAGCTGAGCTCAGGCGCCTCCTTATAACAATTATTAAACGTTCATGATTTATGCTATGAAATAGATACTAATTTACGGAACTATAGGCTTCACAATTGCAAAGAATTTTGGGCGATGTTTCCAAGCGTGTGATGTTCAGCAAACACTAACGTTTATCGCAGTTGATTACACTGGAGCCATTCCATAATTAAATTGCTTAGTTAATCTGAAAATAAAGCAACTGGACGTACTGTATATATACAAGAGGAATTAAGTGATCAAGCATTGGCAGCAATTCAAAGATTCAGACCACAATGAGCATTGAGCACATTACTGAGAAATTGAAGGTGGCAAATACACAAGTGCGAGATGCAAAGGTCGAGCAACTGATTTAGCTCGGGAATAGACGCGTATCGACCGGGAGATTAGGCGGGTCACGGATGGCCCGTTATCCATGTATTTCGGGGCGAGGTACGCCGCTCTGTCAGAGCTGAGAGAGCACACAACAGAGATGTGCTTGTCGTTAGATATGGTTTCATTTAAGTTCATTTCAATTGCTTCAATAATATTTACATAATTTTGATGCACTTTCAAAATTCGCTAAGTGAACGTAAATACTTACGCTCTATTTTCTTGTCTACGATTGGTGGATTTTGCTTGAAAAGCCGTCAATGATTGGCGGATGAACTTACGATCTCTTAACTTTTTTTGAAAGTGGCAATTGATTAAACGTGCAAACGCTCACATGATGCCGCGAGGTAGCGGAGAGAAACGTACTTCAAGCCACTTCGTTGTATCTTACCTTCGTCCAATGTATCCTGACTTCGGAACCACACGAAATAATTGCCTAGTTTATGAAGGACTCCAACCGTTTTCTTTACCTTCGTAACGCTCTGTACCAAGCTTACTTTCCATAACTATTTGCATCAGCCAGCTCAGTTCCTGATGATAAGGTTTAAGCGAACACATATTCGAATGCTGCGTTTGCCTTTATGCCTTTATTGATAACGCTGTGATAAAAGGGCAATTTGATACAACCGTCATAAACATAAGATCTCATAAAGTTATTGTTAATTTACTGAAGCAAAAATCAGTCCAGTGTTATAACGATGCACCTCTCAGAATAGCATTCCCATCATCCCATCAGCGCAATAATTTTACAGATCGATCCCGTTTCGTATCAGATATATTAGTATTATTACACTACTACCCTCATAGATAAAGCGCTAAAATTAACACGGAACGATTTCCTATACCATTTTGGCATGGTTAATTCAATATTTGAAAGCATTCAACTGACACTTGAAGTAGATAATAGAACGGGCAGGGCAAAAAGCAACAGGATTGTCTGTTCGAATATCTGCTCCACAGTCAGGGCGTAATATGAGTCAAGAACTATCTCAGTGAAGTGCTATCGAGGTCACCATATTCGAGCTCATGGGATGTTGTTATAATGCAGAAGGTAGTTGATTTCATGAGAATGATACAACTCAGCAAATAACCATAAAATCGTCTCGATTATTACTCTATTTTGCGCTTCTATAACAATAAAGCTTACAACTAAATAAAAAAATAAAAATTTCAAGAATTACATACAAATTTACCTTGAAGGACCCCGACGTCCTGGTGGTGCAGGAGTTGCCTCGGGTCATAGGTTCAGCGGTGAAGAGAACCTCCGTGTCGGTAGTGAGGCCGACGCCGAAGAGGCGTAGCACAGCAGGGCTTTCAGCGAGCAGTTCGTACACGCCGTCGTCGGACATAGAGATGCCTTTGGCGTGCGTCTCGACACGTATACCGTGCACGTAGAACTCGTAGTCCACGCCCTCCACAGACACGAAGCTCTTCAGAGGAACTGGGGTCACGACTCTGGCACTGACCCGCGATGCGTTCGGGTGCCGCTGCGAGTTGCCCAGGGAAACGTCACGGGCATCTTGCCCACCTGACCCGACGGATACTTGGCTTGGCTCGTCTTCTATCAGTTTGGAAATAAGGGAATCTTCTTCTATGTTAGACTCTATAACTTTAGCTATATTATCACTAGTCATGGCACTCGGTTTCCGATTGTGAACATTTTCTTCGATAGCATAGTTATCTAAACTAGCTCTTTTGACTCTGTTATGAGCTTGAGCAGGTTGATGCCTTTGTGACTCATGAGAGCGGCGGTGAGCAGCACCCCAAAATACTTCGTTAACAGCTTTAGAAACACCAACAACAACAGGAACATTAGCTATAATGGTAACATTTTCGGTGTCAGGTACAAGTGTAGCTTCAGCATCCAATGGCGCATCGGAGACGCTGGAAGATCGCGGGAACTTCTCAGCGTCGACCGACGCGCGGTGCGTCAAACGGACCTGGGAGGCCGTGCGACGCCCACGGCTCTTCGTGCCATCCTTCCTGTCAGGAAATTAATGCCAATACAGTAAAACAGAGACAATGTTTACATGTTTACGTTGTCTTCTGGGCTGCTTAGGGGAAAACTGCATAGGGGAAAACTGCATGATAACATTGTGAAGCAAACACCCACATCGTTTTAATATCTGCTAAAGTTAGAGCGATTTTTCCGATTAACTCGAATTTCAAGATAAATTATAAATTTATGACTCTTCTACCTCATAACATTTAATCATAATTACTACCCAGTAATACAAATACGAAATTTCAGTGGGACGTTTCACACGATCAGAGACAAAGGAGATAGCTTGAGGGGGGGGGGGGGTCCAGGGCAGTGGAGGCGCAGGAGATCGATATTGCACGGCGGTGCCCCGACCCCCCGCACCAGGGCATGCACGGCGCTCTCAACTGGCCGGCACTGTTACGCCTACACGCGTCTTGCTCGTGCTTAACTTGTCAGCACTCATATTATATTCACTTCGCTTATAGTATTCAAATTATATTCACTTCACGTATAGTATTCAAATTACATTCACTTCACGTATAGTATTCAAATTACATTCATTTCACCTAGAGTGCCTATTCAAATTACATTTATTTCATCTATAGTATTTTAATTCGATATTTCATGATAAATTACCGGCTTAATCAAGAAACAAAACGTGTAATATCAAAATGAATAACAAGAAGAAATGTAAAAAGTGATAATGACTGGACGTAAATAATACGTGAATCATCAAGACAATAAATTAGTGTAGATAAATTGAAAATCTGTTATATATGTTGTTCATTATCAGTTTATAAACCTCTCGCTGTAAAGATACCATATATTTGTTCCATTTATATTCTACTGCGTATTAAGCTAAATGGAACATAAATGAAAAGAATAAGAAAACTAAAGCATTTGGCGTGATGACCATACAATTAAGTAGGTTAATCAAAGATTTGTCAATGAAATATCGTCCAATTGCCTAAATATTCGAATGCCGGTCATGCTTCCGAATAAATTATTGTTCTGTGGAGCCTGTTCGAGCAGTAAAGTGGTTCATACGAGCAGTGTAGTGGTTCATACGAGCAGTGTAGTGGTTCATACGAGCAGTGTAGTGGTTCATACGGGTCGAGCAGTGTAGTGGTTCATGCGAGCAGTGTAGTGGTTCATACGAGTAGTGTTGTGGTTCATAAGAGCAGTGTTGTGGTTCATGCGAGCAGTGTTGTGGTTCATACGAGCAGTTTGGCGGGGTTCACATGAATAATTGACTATAGAGTTGCCACGCGAGCGAAACTGGTTGCATTATACTGCACAGAAGCACTGCATTGCGAGTGAGTCAAAGAGCGGGGCATTTCACAGCTTTCTCAGCAATGCGTTCTTGCTTTCAATGGGCCTCAACTGACATCAGATACGCATGTGATTTACTGTCAAATAAATTGAGAGAAAATATTTTTCAGCCGATGCATATGACAACAGGCATTATGGACGGCCGAGATGAGTAAATGTTCAGAGCTGAACTGCATGTTGCAGTAGCAAAAATGTCAGCACGTGAGATTTGTTCTGAAAATGATCACGTTCAGCATGTAAAGCAATACCAGCACGTGCATAGGAAGAACAAAGCTTGAAATTCGTCGATCTTCATTGTATTATATTAGATAAGTAGTCTACAATATGTCCTGTAAGGTTTTAAACGACCGTATAGCCTACCATAAAGCATCTGTAAAGCAACAATGGTTGCTCAGTACTTGGTCTACTGAACTTTCGTTACCAGGACCGTGCATGGGTTCGAATAACATTGACAACTGACAAGTCAACCGTAGGCGAAAGGTTGTGTCTAGCACCTGTTCTTTATACATTCTCATGGTAAAAGATAAAGCGTTTGTAGCTCTCAAATCTTCAGAACAAATTTTATAGCGCAGACAATATCAATATCATTTGGTAATGACATTTTTTCACTGGTCGAGAATTTAAATCTAAATATCAAAGAAAGATTTGCTGAAGAATTAAATTAACAATAAATTTTCGAAACAATGTATACTGAAATTGTCATCTTTGTTGTGAATTTTTTTAACAATTACAGTAAAGTATATCTTGAACAATCTAAACCAATTTAATGTTTGTACATCAAACCTCTATCAAGTTAGATGAAATATCCAGTTGAAGGAAGAATAGAGCTATAAAGCACCCTAAGTATATGTATATGGTAGCTACGCTATGTGCCGAGAACCATCAACTCGGCGCTTTGGCAGCATCTAGGCCTATCTCACCTGTCAGCTTTCATTTATCACAGAGCCGCCGTTTTGTCCCTAGTAAAACTATTTTGTTTAGTTTCGGGCCCCTCGAAAAACAATGCAAGTTCAGTCGCTCGGCCTTTTGAATCATGTACCTATTGTTCGGTATATTCCTACACATTTCATTTGCTTTATATTCGGGATTAGTCATTTTGTCAAGATTTTGTAGAACAGGTCTATCGTTTCCGTCATTTTTTGTCTTTTTCCTGCTCTCTGGTCAGGTCCACGGATTGATTACGTTAAATCCACCAGCTACATAAGCATGCCTCTTATTCCCAGCCTAAGTGGCGTTTATAACGCTTCGGCGTTGACACGTTGCGGCTTAGCGTGCGACGAGGGCACTGATACCGAGCAGCTGCGCTAGTAGCACAAGATCGCGCGACTCGCAGAATCTCTGAAGCCAAACAACTTTACACCAAAAACGACGTGAATGCAGTGAATTAATTAATATACATGCAAGAACAAGTCTTCAGGTGAGCTTGTTTATGGACACAATATTATAATTACATGCCACAGAATATGCCGGCAAATTACAATCACGTAGAATATTTTACTGTTTCGAAGTCAATCGTTCGGGAACACGTACAGTGCCAGAGAGTAGAATTGGATCATACAAGGCTGCCCAAGAAAAAAGTACGATTGGATATACGACAGCCAGAGAAGAAATTACGATTGTATATATACGACAGCCAGAGAAGGAAATACGATTGGATATAAGACAAATAAGATTGTATATACGACAGCTAGAGAAGAAAGTACGATTGGATAAACAACAGCCAGAAAAGAAAATACGATTGGACATAGGTACGTCTGTCATGAGAGAAGAAAGAACGATTGGTTATACGACAGTCAGAGAAGAAAATACGACTGGACACATCACATACGTCTGTCAGAGAAGAATGTACGATTGGATAAAATATAAATATCAAGAAAGGATAAAATAAGACTAGATTAGATTTCCTAGTGTCCTGACTACTGAAGCGACGAGATCAGAGATATGCTGTCACATTTGACACGTCAGATCAGGTGCATAGTAATGTAACATAGATTCAAAACTATGAACGATTTCCTGCTCTTGCGACTTTTAAATCTGTCAATAAATCTAAATATTCCACCTTTATATTAGTTATGAAATCAGAAGACCTCAAAATTACCTCATGTGGGACAAATCGACTGGAGCGGACCAAATCAATTGGTGTGGACCAAATTGACTGATGTGAACCAAATCAGATGGTGTGGACCAAATCAGATGGTGTGGGCGAAATCAACTGGTGTGGACCAAATCAACAAATGTGGACCAAATCAACAAATGTGGACCAAATCAACAAATGTGGACCAAATCAACTGGTGTGTACCAAATCAAGAAATGTGGACCAAATCAACAAATGTGTACCAAATCAACAAATGTGGACCAAATCAACTGGTGTGGACCAAATCAACTGGTGTGGACCAAATCAACTGGTGTGGACCAAATCGTCTGGTGTGGATGAATTTATCAGATATTGGCTGATCTATCAGATGTGTACTTCTGTATCTCATTTATATATACAAGAATTTATCTGATGTTGATTACTACATCTGAAGTGGACTAATCCATCTGATGAGGATTATTGCATCTGATGTGTGTTACTTCTTCTGATGTGGCTTAATTATCAGTAGCAGGATCCATTTGAGGCGCAACAAAAATAAACCACAAATTTGGAGCCTCAGACAAGCTGCACTTGTCATGGATAAGTTGATGATGAACGAGTGCAGCAATGTTCCTCCATCCCAAACCTAATGTTTCTCTTTAATTTCTGTTGTTGTCTCATTAAGATGAAGGGTCAACAACCATCCAATCGAGAGTTTCAAATAAAACATTGTCAAGTGTTAAAAAAGTGAATATTCCACATTGTGAAAAAAAGTTCACAATTCATGCACATAACTGTTTTTTATCACCCCAAATTTGCATACCATCCAAGAATGATAATAAATAATTACTTTCCATTAAGTTCAGTAAGATAGACTTATTAATGAAGCATATAGTCACACACATGAACTGTAATTGAACAGCTATGAAACAATTTGAACTTTATTTTTGAGTCTGAACTCATTAAAGAAACACATCAGCATTAAATTAGTGGAGCCTTGTATTATAATCAGCTATTATATCTGAGAAAGCAAATTCTACAACAAGTGTCTATCAGTAATAAGTGGTTTATGATAAGAACTTTCTTTTCTCATAAATATTTAACAATCAGTAAGAGGTCAGTTAGTTAGTTGCATTTTAAGATTTCTTCTTTATATTGGAGCCTTGAAGTCAACAAGAATTTTTGCTCAGTTTGAACTCAGCATGGTAACAAGGATTGATGCAGGTCTTAGAAAAATTTACTAGAGTAACACTAGTAGGTAGTGTTCCAGCCTCCAGGTATATTAAAATCACAGTTGGAGGAATCTAAAACAGGTTTATGCTCTCACTTTGACAAGGTAAATGCCAAGATAACAAACAAATTGGGAAAAATTTCTGCAGAAATCTTTTCATGAGTAAGAGAAATGCCTCCTGCAATCCTGTCAGGAAAATAATTAATTAACAGATCTTATGGTCCACAACTGAGTTGATTGGAATTGGGTCATCTTGCAATTGATTATTTTCACAAAAATTTCTAATGATATTGCATTAAAACTTATTGGATAGAAATTAGAGAAATATGGTAAATGGCATCTTGGCCAACTCTTATAATAGAAAAACTGTATGAGTGGGCAAAATACTAATCAGAATTTATAACCTTATGGTTGTTCACTATGGATGTAATAGTTATTGTCCATAAAGAACATCAGTTGCTTGTCAATAACATACCTAATGATACACAAGGAACTAAACACTTTGCCAGAGGTGCACCACACATAGCACAAAGTATTCAAATATTTAAAGTACTTGAAGCTTGAATTTGAGTACTTGAATTTGAGTACCTACTTGAATTTGAGTACATGTAAGCAACTATAATCACTTCAATGATATTCAAACAGAGCAATTTCAATTCAATATCTTAAATAGCCCAAACATAAAGTAATCTATAGATGAAAACTTGTGACTCAGGAGTCACCACAGTAATTATGCCATCAGTCATCATGGGCTCCAATATAAAATGTCTGAATCTAATTTAGAAAGAGAATGAAAAAAACACTCATTCACAGTTGAAATAAATTTCATTTGATTCTTTTACATCATTCATTTGAACACAACCAAAGTGTACATCTGATCCAGCATTATAGCATTGTTTTTGGATAACATACTGAGTAATTAAATGTACCTAGTTGTAGGATAACATATTGTTTTTTCTAATATAATATGATTGAGTAAGAAAGTTCAACAATCTCATTACCGTAAAATGGGGTTACTTTGACCGGCGGGGTAACTTTGACCACTTTTTGTTTTTTTAACAAAAAACCCCCAAGACTCAAAAAAGATTTGACATAGAAAAATTTTGTCAATGGCCATCAAAGGCCTAATACTGAGGCTACGTAACACAATAGAAAGATTTAAAAAACTTGCATATCTAATAGGTTAAAAACTTAATAATGTGACCCACAAAAAATAGCTATTATTTAAAGCCTGTGAGAGTACCCCCACCAATTTTTTTATTTTTTGGTAAAATAACTCCAGGTTTTGATGCATTATAGTAGAACTCTTCTAGTTACATATGCAAAAGACAAATTTTAGGAAAGTGTCATAGTTTGCAAATGGGGGGCGCCGCCCCTCAAATGGGGGAGCTTTGACCACCTAATGGCAGCCGTGATGGGGTAACATTGACCGGCTTGGAAATTAAGTTAAAATTACCATAGGTACCTTATATAACATATTTTATGTTTGATACACCTATTAATGTTTTTTTCTTTATGTTTCAGACTCTACTGAGCCTTATATGGGGTAATTTTAACTTAGGGGTAATATATTAACTATAGGGTAATATCTAAACCGGTCAATGTTACTCCGTCAAGGCTGCCATTAGGTGGTCACATTTCGCCCATTGGGGGTGGTGCCCCCCATTTGCAAACTATGACACTTTCCTAAAATTTGTCTTTTGCATATGTATCCCCCTCATTTGCAAACTATGACACTTTCCTAAAATTTGTCATTTGCATACATATGTAACTAGAAGAGTTCTACTACAATGCACCACAACCTGGAGTTATTTTGAGTTATTTTACCAAAAAATAAAATTGATTTTACCACCCGGTCAAAGAAACCCCCAAGAGCTGGGGTAACAAAGACCATCACTTTTTTTTAAGTTACATCAAAACTATGAGAGGCAGGAACCAGCAATTTATGGTAAGTAAAGCTAGAGTATAGACCTGTATTTTGCATGTTTCAATTTAAGTTTAACTTATCTAGTAAAAATTTGAAAAAAAGTGGTCAAAGTTACCCCATTTTACAGTACTCATAAAAATATTAATGATAAGAATCAAATTGTGGCAAAATGTTATAAATTAAAGTTATTAAACAGTCTAAATGTCAACAGCTTTATTTCAGTCAGAAAATGGAATCATCAACTATATATAATAAAATAATGTTGATAATAAGAAAGGCTAAATATTCAAGTAATTAATTATACAAAAGAACAAAGAAGACAGAAATATTAGGCATAAAAAATAGTTAAAAATAGACAGAGTCTAAAATATTTGAAAACAAAGCCAGATTAGGCTAGGTCACTCTAGGCTTCATCATAGTCTTTCTATACAAATCTTTGTTTCTCTCAAATTATTTATCATTCCTAACTGGAAAAGAAAATTTGAACAGCAGCCACAATAGAATCAAGATTAGCAGAGCCAGAGTAAGAATTCTTACTAAAATCATGTGGCTTCAAATTCATATATTCTGAAAAAATTCAATTTGGCCAACAAATCATGTAGTTTTATTAACAACTTGATAGTAACTATAATCTAAATGATTCTTTACTATTATTATCATTTATCAAATTATAATTTACATCAATATTTTCAACAAAATCTACTCTATATTCCAGATTAGTTGCCAGCCTGCCAACCTACAATCTTAAGAAAGTAGCCACAATTAATCACAGATCAAGAAAGTTATCTGAACCGAGTGACTGACGACTGTGAGCTTATCTTGGTAATCTTATGTTATCTAAAAAGATCCTCTAATCTTTTTTCTTTGTTGAGTAATTTAAAAACAGACATGCTTAGATTTCGTACTAAACTAAGTACTAACCTGACCACATGTAACACGGCACCCTCGCCAAGTGCAGACCAATGTAATCCATCATTCGAAGCACAAATCCAAGCGTCGCCAGCGGAGAGTTCATTAGTCTGATAAGATCTGAGATGCAGAAATGCACTTTGGTCTGGGTTGGTTCTCAAACGCGACGCAGAGGTCGACAGCTTTTCACGGGGTACACTTCCTTCAGATGGCAAAAAGCTCGTCAGGGCGAGAAAGGTACGGTTTCGTAAAATATCACCGGTCAAGTTTAACTTGAGAAATACAGGTTGACCTGCTATAATAGTGGGCTTGTCAGGTGCCCATTTTACACTTGGCAATGAATCTTTGCTTTCTACCGGCCAATCACTCGCACAACTTGCACTCAACACGACCAGCAAGAGGAATTTTTTGAACGTCCACTCTCCACCAGTTGCCATGTTTGTCTGCAGTTCAGCTTGTAGCCATAGGGCACATTCACTCGCAGCTTACAATATTATGGTAGCTGGCAACTGATATTGAGATGCCAGAGACATTCAAAAACTACTTCGCAGCAGACAATACATGTTTTTTTCTCATTTACAAAGCAATTTTTATCAATAAATTACTTGCGAATAAAAAAAAAATACACATGAAAACCGAAAGGAATTAGCGTTACAGATATCATTGTTAAGTAGGATCATTTATCAAGATTTGCTAAAACCACCATCTCTGACTATTATTTCATTTCTGAATGCACACCTAAATATATTGAACATAAAATTTACCCGATAGAAATGTTTTGACGACTACATTATTTTTTTCAATGTTTTTGATTTAGCGATGCTCAATTATTGTAGAAGACAAGCCCGCGATGCTCTAAAAACAGCTTTTTAAATTACTAATTATAATCCATGGTTTTTATTCATGAAAATTAATTATTAACGACTCCACGATTTGTTCCTACTGATATAATATATTTTGTTATTATTAAGACAGTAGAGATTTTCACCTGTCACTCGAGAATCGCAAGTCTTTTGTGAGCTTTATTAGAAACTCAATCACTGTAGGATTCTTAAACATGGGTTTTCCTGTATTTTGTTAAATATGAGACATGGATGCAGTTTAATCAATCTAAACAACCTAGGCTAAACAGCTCCAACACATCCTTCTTTCTCTTTATTCGACTTAATTTGTTAAATGGGCATTAGATCTCATGGAGGGCCGGGAGCTTTCAGCGAGGCAAAAATCACAAGTTTTTTCATTTTGATTTAGGAAACATTTCTATCCCTGAGCTCGTGAATTTTTTCTTGCATTCGCTCAAATAGGTTCAGCCGATGGCGCCTGAACCGTACCGAATCGACACTTCTCCGGACCCGCCTAGTTCGCAGGCTGGTCCGGAGATGTGTCGATTCGGTCTGAGCTGTTGTAGTATCAATTGTCACGGCCCCCAATATAGAGATTATGTATAATGCATGCAAATTTAAACGAGACTATATTATATTTCTATGTATCCCTAAACTTATCAAGATTCATCTCTGACCAGCATTGGCGCCGTAGAAATCAAGTGCGAAGGCGATTCAATTTTGAGTGACGGTAGCTAGTAGCTACGGTGCACGACGTTGGACTTTATTCTAGATAATCGCCTCGAATCATGTATGGTACCCAAATGAGATTTTTAAAAAGGTTTTTCGTACATAAACACATTTTTTTATTCTGTTATTCTGTCATCTGAAATGTCTCAGAAAATTGACATGAGTTTGATTGGTTTCTCAACTAAAACATTCTGTTCAGTAATAATTTGAAAACTGCTTCTTATGAAAGATCACAATCTCAAAAGATTGTTTAAACTTAGATGTCGCAACAGTCGTTTGAAGTTTTGGGCCTACACTAGGAGAAACGCTGCTAGACGGAGAGCAGATAGCAATTCTAATTTGTTCAAGGAACCGTAAATGTCTCAGGACGGATCTCGTAATCTAGGCAGGGACGCTATATAGGCTCGTTATCTTAAAATCTGTGGTATGAACAACAGGATAACGGTGATACTTGTTAATTAATGCAAATTTATGCTCGTTCTTTTTTTTTTGTTTAACTTACATGTAAACAGACAAGACAGTTGCCTGCTTCCTTCGTACTATTGCATTTTAATTTATGCTCAGGGTAATGTGCGGCTCATGGCGACGCTTCTGAATGTCTGTGCTCTGCCATGCTCCTCAGGTAGGCGCGTGCTTCGTAGAATGGGAGCTCCTGGCCGTATTATTATCACATTCCAGATGATCATCATAATGAACACTGGAATAACAATAATCGTTGCGCAACGAAGACATTTCTACTTTAAACTCCTATCAAGAATTCTCATTGAAAAGCTGGTAGCTTAAAACGGTGTTCACAGGAATAGACAGCATGGGATAACTCATATTCTATCACATGAAACCGATTTGTCTGATAATTTGTTATAAAGACTCTTTTTACGTCGCCTCTATGTTAAAAAAATATACTTCACTTCCAGTGCAGCAAATCACACGTGTGTTGGCTAGCGCAGCTGGCTTAGTCATGGCAACTTAAGTACATGAAGGAAAATAAGAAACACTTTCTTTTAATTCAACTTAAACAGGGGAAAATCAAGGCACAGCCAAACACGAACAAAATGACTGGTTCCAGAGACACGATCACGTAAATAGTAATGCCGTATTTGTCATTTATGACTTTGGAACTTTATCCTCTTAACTGAAAAGATTGATCAATCGCTTCTAAGGGAACGTCTCTAATCAGTATTCAAATTTAGCAACTCGAGACCTGAACACGGCGATATGTAGTTGTACGACTTAAGTGGTACAAATGCTTTACACGACCGTATCCGTCAAGAACGCCCTCGACAAAATGGCTGCCGTATTTTTCCAAGTAGCTGTACCGACAAGCCTCTGGACCCCGTACCGTAGTCGCTTCGTCTTCTTCATAACTGCATTCTCGTTTCGTCGCTTAAAGATGACTAACGATGGGTATGATCGTAAACAACGGTAGAATTCGGAATTGTTACTTAGTCGTCAACTGCACTGCTATAATATCACTCCCGGCTCAATGCCGTACAGCTGTTGCAACAGCTGTACGGCATTTAGCCTGTAGTGATATTATAGCAGTTGACGACTAAGTAATTAATGATGTTACTGCCGCATCCAAAATTATCGCTTGTGCTGTTGGTTATCGTATTATTTCACAGCTTAGTCGCGGCGTGCTCAGCCGTAAAGTCGATGCTGACCGCGCAGAGATATCTCAAAGTTTTGACCATTAATCGTAGATTGTTGACCGTTTCAATACATGAGTCACCGTTGTTTCAATGACTCTGCGTGGGAGCAGATCCTGCCTGTGTGACGAGTAACTGAAGAAGAATATCTCTGTTGCATATTTCGGTTGCTTATAAACGCAGCCGCCGGCAACCGCACAGTTAAGCCTGCGACGTGTCGACGACGCTTTCCTCGGCAACGTCTTTGTAATGGCCCTCGATGTGAGCAAACTGGCTCCCGCGATTTGTTTTCAAGGATTCAAAATGAATAGCAGATTAAAGTAATAGTCGACACGGTGGGTAATTTACATGTACAAACTCACAATTTTTCACTTTAACCCGTATCAGCATCTGCGCAGCTCCTCGCTTCTTCAGACTCGCCGTTGCCAACGGCAGCGGTTGTCTGCAAGCAGGCGAGGTTAGGAGGTCGATGTTGGCTGTTCCAAGGCCGCGCTTGCAGACATTCTCAAATCGCATTGCCGGGTGGCCAGTTGAGCGCACTTCTATGGCTAGTTCTCTACAGAGTAAGTCCTTGGAAATGCGACCGTTCTGCATGCGATGCACGTGGAAGAGCCATGGGGCACGACGCTGGCGCAGGAGGAGATGTATGCTCATTGTATCCGCTTTTTCCCGACCAGAATGTTGAGGATGCGTCGGATGCAGCGCATGTGGATACCTTTTAGGCGGTTTTCTTGTCTGGGTTGTTAGGGGACGCGTGCAACAGTGTTTTATTACAGTTAGGTATTTTGATATTTGGATTTTAGACGCCTCAGACGTGACCTTGACCAGATAAGAGCTGCACTTGTACATTGCTGTGTGATCCACCACGGAGGTACGGGTTGCCTTGTATTTGGTCTGTTTATTTTTGTGATAATTTTCTTTTTCAATCCAGTGGTGGTGTTTAGAGGTGTTCCTGATTATTATTTTACCATTCTAAAATTTATTTAAATGGTTTGAATTATATTCTGCACTTGTTCTTGCTGGTTCTAAATTCTTTTTTATTCATTAATTTCAGAAAGGTTCCCAATCTTGAGGTCAAAAATATGAACTAGCGCAAAGAGAACACACGGTTATATGAACTCATGTCTTTGTTTGTATATGTCGTTTGTTTATTATAGTTTTCACTTAACATTTTTATTCATCCATTTTTACCACTATACCCACGACAGGGTGAGTGATCCAGGTTTTGCCACTATACATAAGAGTACTAAGGACTTATGTATGGTACAGTTTGAGCTTGGTATTGAGGCTCAGTCGTTCGTTGGACCACAACATTTCATCCAGTCTGTTCATTACACTTGCCGCTTTGGCAATCCTTTGGCAATCGATCTCGCAGTGAATTAGGTCCAGGTTGTTTACTGGTAGTTGAGCTCAGGTAGATGAAATTTTTTACGTCTTCAAGCTGTTCATCGTTGATGTGATAGATGGGAGTATTAAAATGTCCTGGCCTTAGACGTAATTTTTCTTGGTGGCGATTGTCAGGCCGTACTCCCTGCAGGCATTGGCGAAGCAGTTCATAACATAACGTAATATAGTGATGTCGGCGCTGAAGTGTAGGCCTCATGTGGCCTGTCGCCGATTCTTTTACTATTTGTGCCTTGTTCACAGAAGATCTAAAATCGTGTCATTTGACCGGATCTTTTCATGACTGACGGTAGTGTGAAATAGCTACTAGACTTCCATCGGGTTCGATATGGCGCTAGGCATTTCAAGTCTGAACATATATTTTTCCATAGCATTATCTAGTCTGTTCTTGAATGCCTTCATACTTGGAGCGCCAACGATGTAATCGGAGAGGCTGTTCCAGATGTTGGTGATTCGAAGCGAGAAGAAATGTCGTGTGAAGTTGCAGCGCATGTTTTTTTAGTTTATAGTCGTGACCCCTGGTGTTGGTTCTTTTTTCAAATTCTAGTTATCCTTTGGGGACCTTGTATAAAAAATGAGTATACTTGTATACTTCAATGAGGTCCCCACGCAGACGTCGATAACTGAGGCTTGGAAGCTTCATAACATTTAATCTTTTTTCATAGGACTTGCCCATCAAGTCTGGAATTATCCTTGTTGCACGTCTTTGAACATTCCCTATTAAATTTTTGTCCTTTTCAAATCTCGGTGACCACACAACATTTCCAAACTCTAGATTCGGGCGTACCACAGCAACAAACAACTGCTTCATCGCTTCTGCATCTAGGAACTCGTATGAGCGTCTAATTAGTCCAAAAAGTTTGTTGGATGTGTTCGCTTGCGTTTCAACATGCTTAGAAAATTTCAGCTCCTTGTCGACATAAACTCCGAAATCTTTTCCCACACTAGACTTTTCAATCATTACTTTCTCGTTGCAGCCATGTCTTCTCATACCTTAATCTTGCTGTTTATTGTTATTCCCGAGGTGAAGTACTTTACACTTGTCAGCATTAAACCGCAGCTGCCACGTATCAGCCCAGTTAACTAAGCTGTCAAGATCATCTTGCAATTGCGCTTTATATGACGCATCCTTCACTGTATTATAAACTTTTCACTTTTGTGTCGTCGGCATACATGGATCACACGCTGGACACTGCTTCTGGCAGATCGTTTATAAAAGCAACGAACAAAATAGGCCCAAGAACGCTCCTCCTCGTTATGGGAAGGGAGCTGCATCATCAGCAAAAAGCAACGCAATGATGAGAACAGCGCAGACCTTTGTTCCTGCTCTCAAACGAGCCAAGTTGAAAAGTTTACCATCACTTCTGGTGTGTAGATAGATGCCCTCAGTTCAGTCCCTAAACGCAAACTTGCGCAGCAGTGAAAAGAAGATACCTAAGAAAATATTGGTGCCAAAACGCAACCCTGCTTAACTCCGCATTTGATACTGAAGGGCTCAGAGGTATTACCATCGTAGCCGACTTGCAAATCCATAACCCATTTCTGCGGTAGAGAGATTGTGTGGTCACTGCAAGATTTAAGTGAATATTAAAAGTCAATCCCATAAATTTATCAAAACTTTTAAATGCTCAGAAAATATTATACTGTGAATTTGAAATATAACTTGAAGCGGAGTACTTTACAGAAATCGAACTAAGTAATGGAATTTCTTCTTAGTCTGAGTTAACTTGCTAAAAAATATCGTTTGTCAAAACTACCAAAGAACAGAAGTACCAAGATACTAGCCTACCCCGTTGAAGTCCAATCATCCATAAAACAAATTTTAAGGAGCTAAGGAAGAATTAAACCAATTTAAAGTGAAATTTTGTGGTGCCTCACACTAAGAAGGTAGAATGTATCGCGAAACAGCACAGTAACCACAGAAACTACTAATGAATTTACAACTTTTAAGATCATATTTTCCATAAAAAAAGTTTCCAGACGGACAAAACAGCAATATAAAATTTTTCAGTCCAGTGCATTTCAAAAAAGGCCACATTTTCGTAATTGAGCTGCTCCGACGTGCAGAGCAGCTCACTCGGTGGTGAACATTTATAAGAAGTTTACTATATGACCTACCTAATTATTATAGATCAAAAGGGCTAAAATATTAATGGTTTGACACCAAGAATAGATCTTAGTTGAAGAGTATCTCGATAGATAAGGCTGTGAGGTTTGTGGTTATTTATTTACCGAGGTTATTAAAAATGGCGTTTTCCCGCCCACCCAAAGCGATTACGGTTAATCAGTTTATGATCCATTACATTAAACGGGATTTTAATCAAGTTTTCCGGCAACAATTCAAATAAATTTAGACTTGGACACTTGTAAGCAGTGTAGATTCGTGGCATTCATGAGCGGCGGCTCCACACAACCACCTCCTATGACAGCATTCGGCGCACTGACCACGCCCCCCTATATATATAGCCGCACATATATAAGCACGTCAAGCTCGAGAGGTTTTGAAACACCCAAGTGTTTCAAAACGGAGGGCCTTTTTCTCTCAGTGTGTGATCAAATGCTTGTCTGATTGTTCAACCGGGAAGTGCTCCTAAATCATGTCGGACGCGTTTGCTTAATCACCTAGGAACTCCTGCCGTTTTTCAGATCGAAGGGATTGCTGTTGCTGTGGTTGATGTTGGTAAGGTTGCTGGTGCGCAAGGTGAACGGGTTACTGGTGCGGAAGGTAAATGGGTTGCTGTTGCGGAAGGTAAACGGGTTGCTTGTGCGGAAGGTAAACGGGTTGCTGGTGCGGAAGGTAAACGGGTTGCTGGTGCGGAAGGTAAATGGGTTGCTGGTGCGCAAGGTAAGCGGGTTGCTGGTGCGGAAGGTAAACGGGTTGCTGTTGCGGAAGGTAAACAGGTTGCTGGGGTGAAAGGTAAACGGGTTGCTGTCATTTATGTTGGACAGATTGCGGTCGTTGGCGTTGAATGGGTTGTTGTCGTTGATGTTGAACGGGCTGCTGTCGATGTTGAATGGGCTGCAGTCGATGTTGAACGGGCTGCTGTCGATGTTGAACGGGCTGCAGTCGATATTGAACGGGCTGCTGTCGATGTTGAACGGGCTGCTGTCGATGTTGAACGGGCTGCAGTCGATGTTGAACGGGCTGCTGTCGATGTTGAACGGGCTGCAGTCGATGTTGAACGGGCTGCAGTCGATGTTGAACGGGCTGCAGTCGATGTTGAACGGGCTGCTGTCGATGCTGAACGTACTGAGTTTGGATTTCATCTTGAAGCTCGTCTATACGCAACAAGCGATTACGCCATGGGCTCAGATGCTGTCTCTAGTGGGTGGATGTTTTGCTACGTACCGCCCCAGACATTCCTCATATCTGTGCCGGAGCGATCTGGTATATCGAATTTCTACGCAGTTGGAGATAACTTGCGACCTGGGGCCCTCTAAGATCTTGCTGTCTGGAGTATCGTTGAGGATTTATGTTGACTTATGTTCTTGTCTGATGGCTTGATGCTTGTGATTGCGCGTTGTACCTCTGGTTTTGTGGTTGACGCTTGATATTCCTCGGGCAGTTACAAGATTAAAAGACCAAGACAAGATTACAAGACCAGTTACAAGATTACAAGAACAGCAAGATTACAGTATGAGAACACATGGTTGCAACGAGAGAGTAACGAGTGAAAAGTCTAGTGGGGAAAACGATTTGGAAGTTAATGTCGACAAGGAGCTGAAATTATCTAAGCATGTTGAAACGCAAGCTAATAAATTCAACTAACTTCTTGGACTGATCAGACGCTCTTACGAGTACCTAGATACAGAAGCGATTAAGCTGTTGTTTTTGGCTGTCAAGCATCCGGTCCCAGAGTTTGGAAACAACGTGTGGTCACCAAAACAAGAAAAGGACAAAAATTTAGTCGAGAGTGTTCAAAGACGTGCAACAAGGATAATTATGGGATTTAAAAACAATCCTTATAAAGAACGATTCAAGATTATGAAGCTTCCAAGCCTCTGTTATCGACGTCTGCATGGGGACCTCATTGAAGTAAACAAGTATACTCATGGCATGATCATGGTTTATACAAGGTCCCAGAAAGATTACTAAAATTTGAAACAAGAACCAACACCAGGGGCCACGGCTATAAACTAAAAAAACTGTGTTGCAACTCATCCATGCGACAACATTTCTTATCGCTTCGAATCACCGACATGTGGAACAGTCTACCCGATTACATCGTTGACGCTCCGAGTATATTAACGCGTTCAAGAACAGACTAGATAAAGCTATGAAAAATATATGTTCAGACTTGAAATGCCCAGCACCGTATCGAACCCAGTGGAAGTCAAAGCTATATAGCTACTTCAAACTTTCGTCAGTTTGGAAAAGACAAGAATCGGCGACAGGCCACAACAGGCCTATGGCTTGATGACAGGCCGCATCCAGCCTGGCTCAGGCTTGCCACCTGAGCAGGAGAACATCGAAGCCCCTGTTAGGGAACCACACTCCTGTCGAAGCCCCGGTTTTGGGAACCACACTCCTGTAGAAGCCCCGGTTTCGGGAACGACACTCCTGTCGAAGCCCCGGTTTCGGGAACCACACTCCTGTCGAAGCCCCGGTTTCGGGAACCACACTCCTGTCGAAGCCCCGGTTTCGGGAACGACACTCCTGTCGAAGCCCCGGTTTCGGGAACCACACTCCTGTCTAAGCCCCGGTTTCGGGAACCACACTCCTGTCGAAGCCCCGGTTTCGGGAACCACACTCCTGTCGATCGAAGCCCCGGTTTCGGGAACCACACTCCTGTCGAAGCCCTGGTTTCGGGAACCACACTCCTATCGAAGCCCCGGTTTCGGAAATCACACTCTTACCGAAACCACAAAGTTCAGTAGCAACACTCTCCTCGAAGCCACAGATTTGGAAACCACATTCCCGTCGAACCACCACGAATTCAGACCCAGATGAGAGCAAAGCTGTGTGGTCAAAGCTTAGGGGAAGCGCTGATGACGGTTGATGACTAGAAAACCGTTTCATTAAAGCGGGAGCATCAAGCGATATATGAGGTGAAAAAATCTGTATGTCTTTTAATAGTCAATTCTTTTTCTTTAGGTTCAGCTCGAGGTCGGCCAGAAATGTGGATTTATTATTGAAACCGAGAAATAAATTGAATTCGTCTAGATATTTTTACGATAAACGGAAATCCTAAGTGACCTAATGGGTATTAAATAATTCTACGAAAGTAATTAGTTGGACGACCTTGAGAATGTAAAAATATATGCAAGGATAACAGCGAATAAATCCAGAATTGGTCCGTTGAATTTTCCATTAAATGCGGAATAGGTCCCGTGAATTGCTCATTGAATTCATGGGTCGGCTCACCCAAAACAGAACAGGTCCCGAGAATGACCCATTAAAAAAGAATATGTCCCGTGAATGGCCCTCACCGTGACAAAAAAAGTATTGGGTGAGATTCGCGTTGCTAGAAAAATTTCAGTGGCAAGGCCATCAAAATTGAAAAAAATAAATCTGAAATATATAATCACAATTCCTGCCAATTTAAATTCTTAATGAGATTGTTCAAAGTTGCAAATTATTGAGTGTTGGGTCATAAGAGCAATGCAAACGAGCGCTGCAAAGCTGAGAGCTCCAAGGACTGCCTTCTAGACGAGGTCACTGGGACCACGAATGACACTTGATGCCTTCACGTGGCGAATGAATGATGAATGAACACGCACGTTGCAGCTTCCGAGCCACCAGCATGGTGATTCACTCGTACCCTGTCTCTGCCAATGAAATATCTCAGCTAACCTTGGCCGACATCAAATAAGTTTAACACGGTTGATATACATGTAGCCCGGGACTCCGTGCTGCAAGTATCATTCATCCACAACAATGAACGGTTGACGGCTAGATTAACGCATGTGGCCACGTTAGTTAATGAATAGTATTTCACTTCATATTTCACGGAAATGAAAATAATCGTAAATGTAAATGTATTTTCCACTGTGCGGCGAGCGGCGCGAGCGGTGGTAAACGAACGACGATCTCGATGGGGACCCTGGCGGCGTTGACCCGCATGAGCCTATAGCAATAATAACAATTACAAACTATTTTATTTTGGGAAGGAACAGTTAAACGATAATAAATGCGAGAATTTATTCAACAGGAAGCAGAATCACATATTCAGGGATTATTAATAATCGATTGGCAAAATTAGCCTTACTTATACACCTTGAACTCTTTACCTAATTTACAAAAACACTGGTATTGATTTGATTAAAACTCCATATTACCATAAACCCAACCACTCTAAAAACACTCGTGACTTTCTTTCGTAAGTTTAGGCTCAAGTTCTTGTGCATTGCAATATTGAAAATATTCTGGCTGGCGAAGCGAGAATAATACATAAAACAAAGCGAGCGACTAGACTTAATGATAGAAGCAACTGCATGAAGCAGCATTAGACTGACCCTTTACTGGCGCTGAGGAACAACATGGAACGTGGCATTAAATATTTCTCCATGATCGTTAATTATTATACAATAATTCTACTGACGTGGTAAACAACAGCCCTTCACTAGATGCATTTATAAACTACTCTTGTGGAGCAAAATTTTCCCGGTTATAAAAAAATTTCGAATATTTGTGTCAGTCATAAATATTGTATGATATGTACACATATTTTTTCATGCAGACCGCCCAACGTTATGATTATTGACCAAGTTTGGAAGATCAAGGATTGTCAGAAATATTCTTAAGAAATAAATTGTCCGGTTTTGTCACTGATTAAATAGTTATTTCGCGGTCAAACTGTCATTGAAGTGCCCCCTCTGTTTACTCTGCTGGTGAGCATAGAAGACACTGTCCAGCAGGTGCAGTACATAGTACACATCAGCGCGTGTGGGGTGTGCAGGGGAAAGGATATTCAGGATGCAGTTCGAACCTGGAATTTAATCACCGCTGTCAACGAGATTTATCCATGGTTAGAGTTCATTGTGTATAAACTTGGGACAAATAAGATTTTAGAATGACTAACTATATTAACATAGTAAAAGTTTTTGAAAATAAAGCCTAATATAAAAAATTCAGAAGCATTATTTTATGAATTTGCGATAGGTACTCTGCCAATACCTAGACTTCACACCCGACCCTGATCAGAAAATCGTTAAAACCTGCTTGTAAATGCAATTAAAAATCGTCCATGACATTCATCCTTTCAATGGCTGGGAATCATATTCAATCTAAGAGAAAAACTTGAAACTAATTCAGAACTCCTATAGTTCATGCAGCCATGGTAGTCAGAACTCCTATAGTTCATGCAGCCATGGTAGTCAGAACTCCTATAGTTCATGCAGCCATGGTAGTCAGAACTCCTATAGTTCATGCAGCCATGGTAGTCAGAACTCCTGTAGTTCATGCAGCCATGGTAGTCAGAACTCCTGTAGTTCATGCAGCCATGGTAGTCAGAACTCCTGTAGTTCATGCAGCCATGGTAGTCAGAACTCCTATAGTTCATGCAGCCATGGTAGTCAGAACTCCTGTAGTTCATGCAGCCATGGTAGTCAGAACTCCTGTAGTTCATGCAGCCATGGTAGTCAGAACTCCTANCATGACGACATCATCACGACACAGCATGACGACATCATCACGACACAGCATGACGTCATCATCACGACACAGCATGACGACATCATCACGACACAGCATGACGTCATCATCACGACACAGCATGACGTCATCATCACGACACAGCACGACGACATCATCACGACACAGCATGACGACATCATCACGATTCACGACACAGCATGGCGTCATCATCACGACACAGCATGACGACATAGCGTGGTTCTCACCCTCGACGTGAGGAGAAATTGAACGACCGTCCCGCCTCGCCCTTGTCCAAACTACGCAGGGCTGCCATGCAAGCCTCCGATAGACTCCAGCCAAAAAGCTGTGGCAAAATAATTGCATTAGAAACAACCACGCGATTCTGTTGCTTCCAGGTAGATCTGATCATTTAAAATTTTAATATTCTGACAGTTCAAATTCTTGAAAACTGAGGAGCAGCTTTGTTGTTTTCAGTGGAGGGCTCGGATGAATCTCTGATCAATTGCGGTCGGAACTTACATTAGAGGCCACAACAAAATCAAGTCCAAAGTTGATGTGTCACCTGGGAATTTTCTTGGATCCTGGCAGGCGTGACGGACTTGGGTATGACGCCGATGCCTTGCTGAACGAAGTAGCGCAGCATGACCTGCGCCGGCGTCCTGCCCAGCGCCTGCGCCATGAACACCACCACAGGGTTCGTCAGCACCGACGGGATCACGCAACCCTGCCTGCGGGGCATGCGTGTTGTTGCTGTAATTGTCTCTTCTGGGGGTGATAGGTCAGTTTCCCCATTCCCCGCGTTTCCCCATTCTCGATACGTTTAGGCCAGTGGTAGCCTTAATGACCATCAATATCTTGTTTACACGCCTGAACTATTAGGTTTGCATTACACAAAAACCTGGACAAGCCAAGTTCTCATTCTTCAAACATAATTGAATGAATGGCTGAATTGGCCATGAGCTAAGCTTGTCCTAAGTAGAACGGGAACCCGGGGGCTGCATGCGAGAGACAGAGGCTCCCACCACTGCACCAATGCAGCTCCTGGGCGCAGTCGTCGGCAATGCTGGGCACCTCACGCGCAGTGGCGAGCGTGAACATAATTTTAATAATTAAAATAATTTTATTCCTGGGAAACTAAAGTATATACCTATATAGGATCCGTAATTTTCGAGTTCTCATTCTTTGTTTGGATGTAACGGGAACTTAAGGAGATACGTCTATACAATTGCTGTAAACAGAATTTAGTTAACTGACTCATTAGCCACGGAACTGCGTCCTGGTGAGCCGAGCGTGCCGTAGCTGGTGAGGACGAGGCCTGTCTCGCGGCTGTAGGCCTGCATCTCCGTCTGCTGGAACTCCACGTG